ACTCTTCTTTCCTTCCCTCTCCAATGTCCGTCCGTCCGTCCATCCATCCATCCATCCATCCATCCATCCATCCATCCATCCATCCATCCATCCATCCATCCACTCTTTTTTCCTTCCCTCTCCAATGTTCGTCCAACCGTCCGTCCGTCCATCCATCCATGCTGTTGTGTAAACTGCCAGAAAAGGAAAGGGGACACACCTGAACAGGATGTGAAGGTAGGAACCGAGTCCCGTGAAGATGTGCCACCAAGCATGAAACTGCGTGACCACACCCACGAGCGGAGGCAGCCTCTCACGTAACCCCCTGTGGAGAGACACAATCGCAAAGGTCACCCACTGGTTTCCCAAGCCATCTTCCAGATCCCGGCCTCCTACAAAGACCAAGGAAACTCGCAGCAAACCCTGGTTTCTTTTGAGAATCTGTAAAAGAATCACTTTTAAGAAGCTGCGTCTCCTGGCTAGGGAGACAATAAAGACGTCCGTTCTGACCCAGGCTTCCTGAGTAAGCATAAATCACAATCTTAGTCCCAAAAACCTTATTTTATTTATACGGCTGTAAGTTATGGCCATTCACAGCCCGTAATGATTCACAAACAGCCTGTGAAGAGTCCAACACATGTCTGCTCGAGTTGCCACGGACTTTCAGGGGAATGTTGATAAACACCCACCTTTATCTCCCTTGAAACGCTGCCAGAGACCTCATTGCCAAATGCAGAGCAAGGCCAGACTTAGCAGTGAGTCAAACAGAACTTTTCCAAGCTTGGACCGACAAACTAATTGCTTCCTGCAAAGGATCACGTCCCGTTCGCTCCTCTTTTATGTCTTATGGGAGGGGCCAATCATTTCCAAGCCTTACTCCTGAGTTGACCCTTCTTAATTGTTCTTGCCTTCTGGCAGCTCTGTGTATGTGCACACTGGGAACAGGCTCCTGCTGTTCTTCTGTGAAGGCAGCTGATACTGTTAGACGGTCTCAACCCCCTCTCTGCCTCTGACACAGAGCCCTCGTCTGAGCCTTCCCCAGACTCCAGGACTGGCCCATGTTCCTCCACAACCTCCTCACTGTCCGAATCTGGCTGCTGGCGGGCCACAACAAGATCTTCAAGATGAGAACTGGGTAAAGCTGCCCAGGCATAATGTAATCTCTCTAAGGACAAGAGGCTTTCAGAGAATAGAGGAGGCTCCTCATTCTCATTCCTGAGGGATGACTTCTTCCAAGCGTCTCTACCCATCCAACCAGATACCGCAGGATGGACCTGATGAAGATCCTGCCAACCTAACAATGTTGGGCTACGCGGGCTGGGATATACAAAGCCAACCCGTCTTCAATCTAAGATTTTGTTCTGACTCCCCTCCCTTTTTATACACCAAAGCACGCCAAGACAAAGATACTTCAAGGATTTATTAACACACAGACTAGACCTTGGCAGCAATCCAGCACAGACCAGATAGCAATAGCAATAGCAGTTAGACTTATATCCCGCTTCATAGGGCTTTCAGCCCTCTCTAAGCGGTTTACAAAGTCAGCATATCGCCCCCAACAATCCGGGTCCTCATTTCACCCACCTCGGAAGGATGGAAGGCTGAGTCAACCTTGAGCCGGTGAGATTAGAACCGC